GCCTGCTTCTCCCTCTGACCCTCTCCCCTCTCATGCTGTTTCCCTCTCACTCGCTCTCTAAAAAATAAATAAAATCTTTAAAAAAAAAAAAAGCATTAGGAGGTTGAGAACAGCAAGCTTCAGCCCTTTGGGTCAAGGAAAGCTCTGAAGAAGTCGACATTTGAGTTGGGCATTGGGTGACAGTGGGACACACACAGGTGGGGCTTCTGTAGGAAGGAGCATGAGCCTGGAGGCAGGAGGGTGGTGGGAGTGGGCAGGGGGGTCCAGTTGGCGATTTGGCAGAGCAGAGTGGGGAACAGGAGTGGAAGCTGGAGATGGGGGTTGGGTAGGATTCAGGGTGGCCTTGGATGTCATGTCTGTGGGTCTACACTCCGTTCTCGTGCTAGAATGGAGCGACACACTGTCTGCATCCACTTTGGACTCTTACATAACCTCTCTGGTTCTCAGGCTTCCCCAAAGAAGGTTTTGCTGTCCCGACTGACTAGTTGTTATGCCAGTAAAGCTGAGTGACCTGTCTAGAGGACAGCAGATGACCAGAACGTCCCTGGTTCTCTGTGCACGTTCATTCCCTTCCTGTCCCCTTAAAAACAAGTAAATGGAGAGCACGGTGTTTGACATTTCTTGGTGCCTTGTCTCTTCGCTCTGGTGCTCAGAGAATGGATTCTGGAAGGTTTCAACCAACCTGTACCCATCCCGTGGCTCGACCAAGAGACTTGTCCTTCTTTCTAAGGCCTTTGAAGGAATATTAAATTTGCTTAGAGTAAAAGAGATCAGAAAATCCAGTAAGTTTCTGTAACGTAGATGTCTCGTTTCCCCGTGGAGATGTGGTGAACCTTCACTAACATGTTATTTTGAACGTTAGCCAGAGGCCTCAGGAATACCCTGTTTAAAAAAGCAGAGTTTGTGCACATGGCCATATGGCCCTCCTGGGCAAAGTCAGAGTGACCTTTGTAAACTTGCAGTCCCTGAATATGACAAAATAGATTAGTCTCAGCTTCAGGGGCTCCCCTACCAAAGGACTTTGTACCATAGAAACCAGACGCACCAGTGGGCGAAGCGAGGTCTTAAGGAGGGCTTTCTTGAGATGGTGGGTGTGAACACCAGCAGCTGTAGGGGGGAAAGGCAAATCAGCCCGTTTCTCCTCTGTGAGCCAGCGGTTCTGAGGATGGTTTGATTGGACTCGATAGTTCATAAAGCTCTTTTCATGCATACTCTCTGGATTTTAACTGTTCATAGGAGGTAGTTTTGTCATGGGGCAGCCTTTCTGGAGCCTCACAGCTGGTGGGAACCTCAGTCCCTCCCCAGGAAGGCCCATTCGGGCCTCAGCAGCGGGACTCCGGCACGGTGACGGCCAAGCTCTTGCAGACGGTCTCCACTCCCTTGGCTGCTGGGCCCCCAGCATTCCCTTGCTGCCATTCTGGCTGCACCGTGGAGCTCCTCATTTCTTTTCAGCAACTCATGGGATCGGGGTGTGATCTGGGGCTCCCAGGAGGTCTCTCAGTGTATCCTAGGGTCGAGATTCTGTGACTGGAGGTAGGGACGTACCACCTTGTTACAGGTACTTGATCAGTGGGGACAGTTGAACACGACAGTTCTTGTCTTGTAAAGTTTGCTCTGTGTAACAGGCTTTAAAATCTGCCCCTGGGGCAAGTTCAGTCTTCCAAGCTTGCCGGGGTGGGGCGGGGCGGGGCGGGAGTTGTCCGTGACTAAGTCTTCTTGGTCCTTCTTCTGTTTGAGTCGAGGTCATACTGACCCCTGGCCCAGCATAAGGTGCCAGGGACATTTGCCTTGTGGAATTTTCTGGTTGGTGGCACAGAATGAGGATAAGAGTTTCCATTTTTTTTTTTTTTTTAAGATTTTATTTATTTTCGACAGAGGGACAGAGTGTACAAGCAGGGGGAGAGGGAGAAGCAGACTCCCTGCTCAGCAGGGAGCCCGATGTGTGGCTCGATCCCAGGACCCTGGGATCATGACCTGAGCCGAAGGCAGACGCTTAACCGTCTGAGCCACCCAGGCGCCCCTCCATGAGGTCTGTATTATTTGAAGAGGATATTGAAGGTAAGTTGGAGACATTCATGGTTTGTTTCCTCCCCCAGGTTTCTCTGGGAATTGTGTTGGCTGTGGAAAGAAAGGCTTCTGTTACTTCACAGAATTTTCTAATCACATAAATCTTAAGTTGACCACTCAGCCCAAGAAGCAGAAACACCTGAAGTATTACCTGGTCCGCAATGCACAAGGGACTCTCACCAAAGGACCTCTCATTTGTTGGAAAGGCTCAGGTGAGCGCTTGGGCTTTGAGCAGGGTTGGGTGGGTGAACCAGGGGGTAGGGGTGGGGGTCTTCCAAGCAGGCCCAGGTGCCAGGCAGCAGGACTTTGAGGAGAGACTGCTCTGCAGGCATGATTGCAGGCCAAAGGTCAGCCCATTTCCTGGGCTTCTCTCCTCCCTCCTGTCTCCCCGTATCACCCATGGCTAAGTCATCTATGGAGGGAAGAGGGCGGTGGTGGGGGGGATGGATTTTCAGAGGCCCAGCCATAGGTGGTCCCTGGTCCCTGAGATACCCCCCCTCACCCAGTTGTGGAGGGACATGTCCCAGGAGGGGTCTCTGCGAGAACCTTTTGTCCCTCACTTGTCTGCGTTGGCTTACTTCTGGTCGCCTGGCCTCCCCCAGCCAGCTGCTGTGAAGAGAAGGAAGGGCTTCAGGAGGGGCTGGCTCTGGGCATTCCTCCCCACCCCTCTCGTCTTCTTAACATCACTTGATAAGTATTTCTTGAGTTCCTGCTGTGTGTCAGTCATTTTCTAGGTCCTGGGAGGCAGTGGTTCTTCCACTGTGGGACCAGATAAGAGTCTGTGATCGCTTGCTGTGACCAAGTTCCTCATCAGCTAGATGCACCACACTGCTGGGGTCCATCTTTCTGGCAGAGGGTGACTTTCAGGATGGAGTGGGGGGGAGCCGGGTGTTGGCTTTTCCTCTCCTTCTGAGTAATAGTCTGTTCTTTCCTTGGACTTGAAGGGCAGCGATGGGGTGACTCATTTGTGTCATCTCAAATGCTCACGATGCCTCCCACTCCTGATAATCAGAGCTGTCCCCCCGACAGATTCCCCTGGCCTTGGCATGGAGCACCCCTGCCTCCCCCTGAAGCAAAGCTAGGAAGGTGTTGGCACCACTTGAGTTATCTAGGTATCTAGCTCTCTTGTGGGACAAACTCCAGTCTAGAAAGCATTTCAGAACCGGCGGGGAATTGGTTTTCACCCGTGCATCTTGCCCGCTTAGAGTTCAGAAGCCGGCAGACCTTGGCCAGTACTTGCTCGAGTTCCCTCTTCCCGCCCGCGGAGAGCTCCGGGCCTCTGGCTGCCTTCTCCAGCGAGCCCGTTCCTGGACCGACGCCGAGCATCCCGATGGGAGCCCAGCCTGCAGGTGAGCGGTGGGCGGCGAAGTGCCAGAGGTGCTGGATCCGTGGGCCTGGCGTGTCCCCCGCATGTCCCCAGTGTGTCCCCGGCATGGCGGATCAATGAGGCAGCCACACATTCTTCAAGATAAATAAGAGGCGTGCTTTGTCTTCTTTCCCAAAGTGCCTTTGTGTCTCATCTTGAATTTGTAGCAGTTTTCGGCACAGCGTGCTTTGTTTTTCATTCGGAAAGATGTCCTTCGTTCCTGTTGGCTACGGAAAGTGATCCCCTTGGTGGTGGTGTGGTCTGATCAGCATGATTCAGACACAGGGCAGCTGGCTTCAAAACCATGCTCTGAACCCCCTCATCATGCCACCTCACCCACAGGAAACGTTTTGTGCTACCCCCGACTCTGGAGTGCCTTCTAGACCATTCTGGCTGATGTGGGCATTTAAGCAGTGCAGTGAGAGTCTTACTGCTCAGAAGAGCAGTACCCCCAGCTTCCCCCAGCATTATCCTCAGGCCCGGGGAGCCCCAGGCCCCGTGAGCAGCCTGGAGCTGGGTGACTGCAAGCCTGACAGGTTTCCCGAGCATGTTCGGTACAAGCCTGAGCTGGGAGGGGGAGGGGGAGGAAGGCGGAAGAGCCTTGCGTGCACCCCTGGGATTCAGGGGCCCCCCCTGGCTCCTCAGGTCTCCCTGGTCCTGCTTTCACCCAGGCCGTGCTCATTGGAACAGGAGTGTGTGTGCGTGTGTTTGTGTGTTCTCAGCAGGCAGAATCACTTCTTGGCGTAAAGCACGTTTATAAAAATGGAAGAAAAGTAATTTCCTGCTAGCTGGGCTCACGGAGCGTCCTGTGAACTGACTTTGCGCCCCCCCCTTCTCTCTCTCTGCTGCCAGGACCAGCCTCTGAGCACCCCTCGCTAACGGCAGCCGTGGGTCCAGCTGTTCTCAACGGCAGAGATTCCCCGAAGCACCAACAGCTGGTGAAGAACGACCTGTCGGCCATGCCGCGGCCCTCGGCGCTAGGTGCCATTGCCTGTCCAGGGGGGTCGCGTTTTCCTCCGGGCCAGGCTGTTGTGGGGGTTGCGGGAGCCACCGTGCTGGGGCCATGGCGCCTCCTGGAGTTGGTGTGGCATAGAGGGCGAGTGAGGACCAGCCAGCAGGTGCCTCCCGAGTCTTGGAGGCCATCCAGGCCCCAGTGCTGGGTGGGACCGCAGCTTCGGCCACCGACTTGGGTGATGGGTGTACGCCAGGAAGCAGTGGGCGGCCAGTCGCCTGTGGGCTACGCATCAGGAGGGCTGTAGAGTTCTGGAGAAATAGGGGGCAGCGTGGTGTCAAGGGAAGAATGTGGGCTCCCAAATCAGATAAATGTGAAATCGAAACTCAACCATGTCTCTTATTAGTTGGGGGATCTTGGACAAGCCTTCTGACAAATCGTTGCCTCATCTGGAGATAAGAATTGTGCTCTTAGGGCAGCTGAGAGGGTCAGATGAGGGGCTGTATGGAAATTCAGGGCACCTCTGGAGGGCTTCCTGGAGGAGGACAGCTGAGCTACTACTTACAGTTGGGGAAGCAAGCGAGATGGTAAGGGAGGGAGCATGGGAGAGGATGAGGAGGTGAACGAAGGGGTTAAGCAGACCTTCTGCTAGAGCTGAGGCCATGGAGTCTGACTCTGGGCTCTGTGCTTGCCCCTCCATGCTCGCGGGAGCCATTTAGTGAGCCAGGCTTCCCTCTCTCCTCCTCCATGCACACAGCTAAGTGGATTTGGGGACCCAAGACTATCCACTGGCAGCGCCCGTAGCAACTGTCCAGCCCCACACTCTGGTGGAAGAGGAGCGTGAGGCCCAGAGAGGCAGCCCAGGCTCGCCCTGCTTCCGTCACGTGGCCAGCAGAGGACTTCCCTGGTGGGAGTCTCCCTCTTAGTTGAAGGACCAGTGTCTTTTCTGACTTGGACCTGAGACTCCCCAGGCCTAACCAGCGTGGAATCCAAGGTCAAGCCTTTGTCCCTCCTCCTGCAGAAGGAGCCCCAGGCGGGCCCCCACTTTTCTTCCTGTGACTGTGAGGTGCTGAATTTAGGGTGGCCAAGGACCAAGCCTCTGGGACTGTGACGGCAGACCTGACCTGTGACACCTGCCCTGCCCAACCTTCACCCAAGCAGCAGGGGACGAGGGCCTTGCTCTGGTGAATGAGGAGCGGTGTGGGAAGGAGAAAGCCCCCAAGGTCCCTAGCAGCACTCCAGCCCTGCTGGAATCTGGCCCCAACCAACCTGTCGACCCTCATTCATTCCCTGCTGTTTCTGCTCAAGACCTCCACACTCGGGCTGTGTGGGAGGGTTCAGTGCCCTCCCCGTCCTGTCTCTACCCCGTGGCCATACATCATGATCTCCAAGCATTCTTCCCACCCCGCGGCGAACCGCAGCTAACCGTGCCTTTCAGGACGTAGCTCAGGTGTCCCCTCCTGCAGGAGGGCTCCCTCCCTCTCTGGGATGCCCCAGGTGTCTGTCTCCCTTGCCCGGCCATGTGTGTCCTGCAGGTAGTGAAGTTCCCGAGAGCAGCGTCGGTGTCCTCCCCATCTCGGGGCCCTTGGCGCCCGGCTGCCGTGGATGCTGACTGAATGGAGTTGTTTTAACAGCATAGCCAAAATGTCACAGGTCCTGGGCCTTCCCGCCCGCTCTGGGGAGAGAGGAAATCAGGTTTAAGAAGCTGTTTCTGAAACTACAAGAGGTCTTGAATATGGGCTTGAGGGCTGTGGCTCAGTGGTTCTCAGCGGAGAGGTACTGCCCCCTGGTGGGGGCTGTTAGCAGGTGCCCAGGATCCTTCCTTGGTGGTCCCACACTGGGGGTCCGGGTGCTCCGTGTCCTGCAGTGAGTGGTCTGCATAATGAAGAATTGCTCACCCAAAGTGCCAGGTAGTGACCCCCTCCCCAGTACCGGGAGCCACCGCGAGAAATGGTCCACATTGGGAGCGCAGGGACAGCTCCTGGGGCCGTCACTTTGGCAGAGTTGATGAGCTGAGTCCACACTAAGGGCGGCTAGAACTTGTGTCCCAAAGGGGAAAATATGTGTAGACCTTCCGTCCTTAGTGTCGAGGCCCAGCGCCTCCTTGGTAGTTTAATGTGGTTTTCGGGGCGCTGGCATCTTCATGCCTGTGGGAGGGCTTCTGTTGGCACTGGAGGACGGATGTTCGGGCAGTAGAAGCTGTGGTCTGAACAGAACGGCCGTGATCGTAGCTGCCTCCCACATTGCCGGTGGGGGGTGGTCGACGGAGCCCACCTGCTTGAAAGCTCTGTGTAAACAAAGTACCTTGTATTTTAACTTTTTATTCACTTTATTCTTTTCTGATCAGTCTAAGGAAGAGGTGAGAATAACTTTATTACCTTGAAGAGACTCTAGAGCAATAACCCTCAAACCGCAGAGCACTCAGGCATATAGCCAGGGCGCCCAGAGTAGTGGCAGTTTTCTCCCTCTTGTTTCCAGAGATCCGGTTCTATAGGTCAAGGCAGGGCCCAGGAGCGGGCAGTTTTAACGAGCCTCTCCTGTTTCCGTCCAGCTCCTTCTCAGACCACATTTACAGAAACGTTGCTCTAAACTATGATTTTCAACCCCGGTTGTGAGTTAGAGTCACCAGGGAGCCCGGGGCCCTCACGATGCCCGGGCTCCCCCAGGTGCTGGGTTTTGGTTTCCTTGGGATAGATAGGCTTGCGTCCAGGCACGGAGAGATTTAAAGCTTTCCCAGGTGAGTTTATCATGCAGTCATAGTTGAATGTATAGCTCTAAACGTCGGGGAAATTTTGTGTCAGATTGCTAAAAAAAATATGGTAACCGATCCTTGATGTTTTGAACATCAAGCACGAGTCACGCACATGCTGTTATCTAGAGTGGGCAGAAATGACTCGACAGCAGCAGCGAGCACCGAGCACCAGCTTCTGTTCCCCTTGATTTTTTGGTCTGAGGCTAGCGGTCAAGGCTAGGGTGGGAGTGGAGCACAGATGGAGCAGTACTGCCCCCCAGTGGTGAAGCTGTGATGGTGGATTCAGTGGTTGGTTTGCAGAAACGCATCCTCTTACTGGAATGTTCAGAGGAGGACCGGGAGGAGGATGTGATCTTGGGGGCTGCCAGTCAGTGGGCCCAGACTCTGTGCTTTATGTGCATGCTCTTTAGTCTTTATCAAACCACCTTTCACGGTCAGGTTTATGATCCCATTTTAAAGAATAGGGTGCCGAGGCTCAGAGATAATGCTCAGCACTTGGGTGGTTTGGAATGAAATGTTTACTGAAAGGGACAGGATGTTTCCTCATGCCCAGATGCTTCACTAAAACAGCTAAGAACCATTGTAAAGCTCTGATGTTTAAAAATTGCAGGTGTTCTCCAAATCAGGGGAATGTTTTGAAACTCGTCCTTAGTGACAGTCTAATCTGTACTCTGAATGTTGTCTAGGTATCTTATCAAACTCCGGGCCCCCCAAAAAACGCCACAAAGGGTGGTCTCCAGAATCTCCATCAGCTGCAGATGGTGGCTACTCCCAGGGTGGTGGGAACAGAGCTAAGTATGGTAAGTGACAGCGACCTTGCCAAAAATCCAAGACTCGGGGGCTGGTGGTGGTGCTGGTGCTGAGGCCCGGGGTGGGTGTGTGCACGTGCACACCGTGTGAATTTGTGTGAATTGGCGAGGATGTTCTAGGGGGCAGACTTGGGTATGACCGAAGGGTCTCTCATATGTTGGAGCTGCACAGCAGAGCCCAGGGTCCTTGTACAGCAGTAAGCTAGCTCCTTGACCCTAAAGAAATTTAAAAGGGGCTTGCCTGTCACGTGGCAGAGAGATTGAAGAGGAGACTGTTGTTTGGTGGGGAAGGTTGGATCAAGCGACCTTAAAGATGCTTTGACCTCAGGAATCTGTGATTCCAGGACTCAGATGTTCCCCTAAGTAGGAGTAAACATCAGGCTGCAGCAGATGTGTAGGCCGGCCTGATGTCGGGTCTGCCAGAAAGGGAGGCCCGTCCCACGCATCTTCCTAACATTCTTGGCGTGTTTCTAGAGAGTGCAAGCATGTCCTGCGTGCCCCAGGTTGGCTTGGTGGGACCAGCTTCGGTCACGTTTCCTGTCATGGCCTCCGGAGAGCCGGTGTCCGTTCCTGACAACTTGCTGAAAATATGCAAGGCCAAGCCGGTGATATTTAAAGGCAAGTATAGCAGTGGGACAAGTGGTGGAGGTCAGGGAGCCTGGAGGAGTCTGCAGGGAACAGGCAACAGGCTGAGGCCAGGGGTGTCCTCCTGAGAAAGCTCTAAGACCCCGCCCAGGGCAATGAAAGAACAAAGCAGACCAGTCACTAGCGTAGCCCCTGATCAGATGCCGAGAGTTCTAGAGCTGGTCACGGTTTTCCACAACGAGCCCGGGAGAAATGATTCGGTTCCATGATGTCCATCTGTTCGTTCATTCACACGTTCATTCACGCATTCGTTCATTCAACCTCACTGAGCTGCTGCCCCATGAACAGGCCCAGTACGAAGCACCAGGGATCGGAGATGGATCCATCAGCCCCCTGCTTCAAGGACCCCTGGTCAGGCGGATGGTCCTGTTGTCACCCTGGGCCACTGGTATATTTTGACTATGAAATCTGACTTTGGGAAAGGAATGTCTATGTTCACCCTGTGGAAGCATAAAAGAAAACTAGATTCGATCTGTTTTGTGACAGTTGGTGTCCATCGTATGCTGCGTGGAGGTAGATGTTTTGCTCAGCTAAGGAAGTCCCTCTCCAGTGAAGCAGGAGATCTTGAAATGTGAAGCTTGGGTGGAACTTGTTTGATGATGGTTTTCGCTGGTCCCTCATGCTGGCCTATGATAACACACACGCGTGCATTCCGATCCTTAATTAAGTTAATACTGTATTTGGTATCGTGTTTGTAGGAAGAGAGGAGAGAGGGTGGTGGGAGAGTGGGAAAGAGATCTTACAGGCAGTTAAGAACTAACAGAGGCACCCCTTTTTCCTAAAAAACCAAAAGTGGACAGGGTATTTAGGAATAAGGGTGCAAATCTGGGTTTTGGACTGGGCATGAGACAGGGCCAATATCCCATTGGGCCCTATTAGCTGATTAAGGTGGAGGTCAGCATGCAGCAGCATTACCTATGTTCTTCGCATGGCCATCTCGTGTACGTGGTAGGCCCTGAGAACACAGTGATGGGAAAACAGAGCACGGTGATATGGGCAGGACCTGCACCTGTACCTCCCCCGAGCCAGAAGCCCCAGGAAAGTCGGGGTGAGGGTCCAGCAGACCTGTGTCTAATGGCTAACGACCTCAGATGGAGACCATCCTCCTTGTTCCTCAAGTTCACTGCACTTCCTGGGGCAACTGCTCTGTTCGAGCCATGAGCTCTTTGTAACATCCTTGCCTCCCTGGCTCTCCCCTCCCGCCCCCACCCACCACATGCCCAAACCCCACCTGTGCTTTAAGATCCACCCCCATGCCTTCTCTGTGAGACTGCCTTAGTTTCTTTTTCACCTGGGCCCCCATACAGCTTGAATCATAATGTTGGTGAGCAGTGGCACCCCCTTTGTGGTCCCTGGTCCAGAGAACCAGCCCCCCCCCCCCAGGACCTATTAGAGGCGTGAACTCCCAGGAGCATCCCAGAATCACAGTCAGGCCCCATTCCTGAATCCTAAGCTGTATGGTAGGGTCCAGCACTCTGTGTCTTAGGCTACCTTTCAGGGGATCCTCATGCACCCGCAGGTTTGAGAAGCAATTCCTTGAGGGTGTGAACTGTCTCAGTCATCAGATTCTCCCTGGAGCCAAGCACAATGCCCGCACGTAGCATACAGTGGGCGTTCAGTAAGTGTGTGTTTGGTGCGTAAGTGTAGACTGCCTGAGTACAGGACAGCACACACGGATTTAGCACATCTGATCATCTCAGCAGCCCCACGGGGACTGCGTGTGTTCACCCCATTGTACAGATGTGGAGACTGAGGCTTAGCGATGTCAGACTTCCTGCCCAGGGCCCCCCCCAGCTGGTGCACGGTGCGGAGGAGAGTCCAACCCAGCCGGGCTCTTCCGCCTCTGGGGGTTGTCATCAGAATGAATCTATAACGTGCGCTAAAGTGTTGGTCAAGTTCTGTCAGGGCCTGGAGCCTCTGGCCTGTACAGTGATTTATTTTCCTAACCCAGCTTGCTCAAGAGCCCCGGGAGGATGGGAATCAGCATCCCACGTCGGGGAGTCGGGGCGGTGGGGGATGGCTCGTTGGCAGGCAGTCAGCAGAGAGCCAGAAGGTGCTGCTTCCACGAAGCGTTCTGTTGTCTGTGCTGAGGAGCGGCCCGGGGTGACGCTTCCGCCACAGGCCTGTCCCTCTGGGCCGCTCACGTGTGAGATAAGGCAGTGAACACGTGCCACAGCCCTGGTCCGTTATCCGAGCCGCTGCGCCAGCTCAGCAAGGGCCGGAAGTCCGAGGTCTCCCCAAAACGGGGCACGAGAGTTACCCCCGCAGCATCTGGCCTGCACGCTTTGGCCCCCTTGTGTTTGGAGATGCCACACGCTGTGCCCACTGCCAGCTGCTGAGCGGACGCGGCTTCTCCTTCCGCAGGCCACGGGAACTTCCCTTACCTCTGCGGGAACCTGAACGACGTGGTCGTGAGCCCCCTCCTGTACGCATGCTACCAGAACTCGCAGTCCATCTCTCGGGCGTATGAGCAGTATGGGGCCTCCACCATACAGCCCATCTCAGAGGAGACACAACTCCTGCTCACCGTCTACTATCTCGTGCAGCTGGGTGAGTCTCCCTCCCATTGCGCGGGAGTCGCTGGTACGCTAATCAGCGGAGTGGGAAATGCAGAAGCTGATCGTGGCCCGTCACCCGGAGCCCTTGTGAAGCCACGGGGCCCGTGGGGATGGAAGCCCGGGGAACGTGCTGATGCTGCAGTCAGGTCAGCGCCCGGAGGGCCTGGGCAGGGCTTAAAGTGGGTCAGAACCTCTGGAGATAATCCAAAAACCATGCACCTGCCAATTCAGATGCGCAGAGGGATCAGGGAATAAAACAAAGGCTCTGCCCTCAGGAGAGTATATTCTAGTGGGAGAGGAGCCGTAAACAGGCAGAGCGTGTGAGCAGGGAGAGGGAGCTGTGTGTGGGGAGGGATTGGCTCAGCGTCACGGAGAAAGGCCTCTGTGACGAGATGGTGTTCAAGGGGCCCGAGGGGGAAGGGGGCCCAGAGGGACCCGTGAGGAGGTGGGGGAGGCGAGGGAGAGGCCCGTGAGGGCTGCGGGCCAGGCCTGGTGGCTGTAGCACAGTGGGGGAGGGGGTGCCGGCGGAGGGGCAGGGCCTCGGGGTACGGCCAAGAGTTTGCACTTCAGACACACTGACAGACAGCTCCGCGTCCGTCAGCTCCGGCTGCCCTAGCAGAGTGCCTCAGCCTGGGGGCTTAAACGGCAGACATTTATGCTTCAGGGTCTGGAGGCTGGATGCCCAACATTCAGGGTGCCAGACGGTCGGGTTCTGGGGAGGCTTCCCTTCCTGGCTTGCAGACGGCACCTCCTCTGTGTGCCCCCGGGCCCTTCCTGGGCACATGCGTGTGGGGAGAGGGACAGAGGGTTCCGGTGTCTCTATTCATACCACCACCGGTCCCACTGGACCAGGGCCTCACCCTGTGGCCTCACTTAACGTCAGTCCTTCTTTAAAGGCCTTATCTCCAAAGACCGTCACAATGAGGGTTATGGCATCCACATATGAATTGGGGAGGGGGAACACAATTCAATCCGCAGCACCTCTGGAATGCATATGATCTGACCTTCACTTCCAGAAGACCACAGCGGCTGCTGCGTGGGGCTGGGTGGTGCAGGGGCTGTGTTGTCCCAGTGAAAGTGGGAGGTGGCTTTGACCACTAAGGGTCACGGGAGGGTGGTGCTGGATTTTTTTCTGAAGCTGTAAGGGCGGTAGGCCGTCTGTCTGAGGGAAGGGAAGGAACGGTGCAGCCTGGGTTCTGCCCTGAGTCCCCAGGTGGATGGTGGAGCCAGAGGGTGAGCATAAGTTCTGCCTTGGCTGTTTCGAGTTTGAGATGCCTGTGAGGCTGCCGAGGGGCGAGTTGCAGGATTTGGCTGGACAGGACTTGAGCCCCAGGGAGAAGGTACAGCTACAGGTGTCAGTTTGGGGAACACTGGCCCAGTGATGATCTGCACTGAAGCTGGGAGACTGGAAAAGAGCCCCTGGGAGAAAGGTGCCGATGTTTGAGCTCCGGGGCACCCCAGCAGTCAGAGATCTGGAGGAGGAGGTGGATGGAGAGCCGGGGAGGCACGCGGTTGGGCGGAACCTTGAGAATGTTGCCTGGAACGGTCAGGATTCTGGGAGAACATGGCGTGTGTCTTGCTCTTCCTCATGATCCACAGTTCATGCATCAGTAAGCCCTGCTTCGTCCCAGACCCACCCTTGTCCACCGTCCCCATCAGGCCTTCCTTGCCAGGGAGCTGCTCTTATCACGTCTGTTACAATTGTGAGTCTGATCGTATCTGTTCTCTGCTGGAGCCTGCCGAGCTTTCCTATCACACATTCAACCCACGCTGGTTCCAGGGGCCACGTGACCGGCCTGCCTCCCGCAGTCCCTCCAGCCCTGCTGTCCCCCCAGGCATACCAGTCTCCCCTGCTCTGGCTGTTCCTTTGCCGAGAAACGCGCCTACCCAGGACATTTGCACGACTACTGCTTCATGGCCTCTGAGTTTTGGTTCGTATGTCATCTAGAGAGGCCTTCTCGTCACCGTATCTAAGACAGCGCCCCCTCCCCAGGCCCCCGTGGCTCTGTCTACTGTTTATCTTGTGTTTAGAGCACTAGCACTCCCAGAAATTACATGCCATGTGTATTTGTTTACTGTAGGTGCATGTCCCCCGCTTAGGATGTAAGTGCTGTGAGATCAGGATGGTTGATTTCGTTCTCGTCTGTGTGTCCAGCAGTACCAGCCATGCAAAGTTGGCTCTCAGCACGTGTTGAAGGAACAGTAGACACGGACGCAGAATCCCGTGAAAGCATTTCAGGAGAGGGACCAGCCCCCTGAGTCAGTGAGGCCAGGAGCGGAGTGAGGGCTCATTATTGGCCATTGGGTTTGGGTGTCTGGAAGTGACTGGCCCCCCTGATGATGAATGTGTACGAGGAGTGTGGGGACAGAAGCTGTGCGTGCGCTGTGGGGGGTTGGAGACAGGAGGTGAGGAAACAGGCGTGGTGAGGGTAGACAACTCTCCCAAGAGCTTTGCTTGGTGACGGTGATTCCACAAGGGGGTGTGGGCTCAGGGGCAAGATTTTAGAGATGGGAGGTCTAACAGCTAATCTAATAAAATCGTGGCCTAGCCAGATGAGGGGGTGGTGTGATCCCCGTCGTTCAGGTCAGGAACCAGTATCCTAGGATAGCTAGCTCTTGGTCTGAGCTGGTGCTGGGTAGAGCTGGGAGGGAGCACGTCTTCTGAATTGAAGTGGGGTGCTCTTTCCTCCAGCTCACCCAGGTACAAAATTTCGACAAATGCACCAGAAAATGTCTATAGGAAAGAAATGCTAGAAGTATTGTCTCACTAGGCATCTGAGAGGCACAAATGAACAAATCAAGTAATGTTTTTCAGTGAAATTAACACCAGTGATGGTATCGAGTGGATCTAAGGGTGCAGTAAACCCATGGTGGGTTGGCACACTTGGACCACCTGGAAAGAGCCCGATCATGTGTACTAGCTGGCTCTAGAAGCCCGGTTTTGAGAATTTAGGAAGTTAGTAGGGTCCATCCCTGAAGACGTGTGTTGTGGAGGTATTTATAGCAGAGTGGTTATTTGGAAGCAATAGAAGGATCAACAGTGGAGACACTGCTGAGTAAGTGGCGGTGAATCGCTCGAAGGGACCCGGTGTGCCCAGCGACAGTGCTGGTTCCGGAGACCGCAGACAGCGTGACACCTGGCTCTGCGCACAGGGGCGGGGAACGAGACAAGCCCTGAAGTCGGAGGCTTCAGTCCTTAGAGCGATTTAGAACCTGTCACTGAAAACCAGACTGAGAGACGGGCAGGACGAGCTGCGGCGTGGTTAGGCTGGGGAGCGCGTGGCTGCTCGCGTGCCCTCCCGGTGCTCGCATCCCAGCCTCCCGGCCTCTGTAAGACGGTGGAGCCCGAGTGATGCGTGTTGGGTTACAGCCGAGCCCGCCCGCACGCATCTCCCCAGGCCCGCGCTCCGTGTTCGTGGGCGGGCGCTGAAGCCTCTCGGGCCGTCTTGTCGTTGCCAGCAGCCGACCAGGTGCCCCTGATGGAGGACCTGGAGCAGATCTTCCTGCGCTCGTGGCGCGAGTCGCACCTGACGGAGATCCGGCAGTCCCAGCAGGGGCAGCCGCAGCGCTGCCCGCCCACGCCCGGTGCCGCGGCCCCGGTCAGCTCCGCGCAGCTGCCCTGGCTGGCCGGCCTGGCCGCTAGCTCCGGCAACAACAGCGTGCACATCATCGAGTGCACCTACTCCCTGGCCGAGGGCCTCTCGGAGATGTTCCGGCTGCTCATCGAGGGCAAGCTCGCCAAGACCAACTACGTGGTGATCGTCCGCGCCTGCCGCAGCCCCGCCATCGACTCCTGCGTCGCGGTCACCGGTGAGCCCCGCGCCCGAGCGTGGCGGCTGCGGGAAGAGCAGCTGTGTCCTCTTCCCTTGCAGATCCGCGCACTTTGCCTCTTGTGGCTGGGGTTTGTAGCAGCAGTCGGTTAGGGACTGCGGTTAGTGCCCTCCTGGTGCGAGGGGCGCGCGCGCTGGCTAGCGTGCCGAGTTAGGATTCGTTCCTCCTCCGAGTGGAGGGTGAGCATCCCCATTTCCCCCTAGAGAGCCTGGGCAACTCTGGAGCCTGGACAGACGGGGTGGAAGGCCCGGCTCCACGCACCTGGTGATGTGACTGGTCCCTCCCTGACTGTGGCCCTCCGTTGCTTCAACTAGCTAATGCAGAACAGCAACAACAGCGATCTTGTATGATGTAGATTAATGAGTCAATTAACTCAATTAACTAATAAATTATACAAGTACTTATTGAAGCCCTACTATGTGCAGCCACTGTTCTAAGGGCTGGGGACACAGGCACGAAGACAATGAGGTCCCTGCTTCCCTGGAGCGGACATTCTGGCGGGGGAGGCCGACGCCAGACACAGCGCAGAACATCTCGGGTGGAAGGGCCAGGGGATGGAGGATCCCATTTGGGAAGTTGGCTATTAAGAGGAGTCAGGAGAACCTATCGACAGAGGTGACGTTGGAGCAGGGGCCTGAGAGAAATGAGGAGGCAGGCGATGTTGCCACTGGGGACGATTGTGGGGCTCCGCAAGACCACGTGGCAGCATTCTGTGCCTCCCACGTTGTAGGGAATCAGGAGGCCAGGGCAGAGGATGGGACTAGGCCGTTGTCTGGGGATAGGGAGAGAAAGAGAGCGGTGAGCACAGACTCTGCCATCAAGGGGCTCACGTGCTAATTCTAAGTGGAGGGGCCCAGTGAAAGTTGTTTGTTTTCCAGGAAAATACCAAGCCCGAATTCTTTCCGAGAGCCTTCTCACCCCAGCGGAGTACCAGAAAGAAGTCAATTATGAGCTGGTTACGGGGAAAGTGGACTCCTTGGGGGCCTTTTTTAGCACCCTCTGTCCAGGTAGGCTTGTAGTGAGACAGGTGTAAGTTCACAAGTGGGAGGGGCGGTCCTCTCGGAGCCCGTTCCCTAGGACCTGCTGAGGCCGGCCTTGGTTTGGATGTGCAGGGTGACCCCTTCATTCTCCGTGTTAGCATTTACGACCCTTTCTGTGGTGGTCTCTGGCTGGCCATCTTCCTGCACTGACTGGGTTCTCCTAGGTGGGGGGGGGGCTTGGGGTTCCTGGTTTTGGGGGCACACGAGGGTCCTGTGCCTGTTCTCCTGTACCTCCCCAGCCCTGTGCACTGTGGCTCCCTACCTCCCCCTCTGAATTTCTTGAGTCTATGTGTTCTATGCTGTGAATTCTGTGCCTTCCTCCCTTCTTTGCCTGGCTCCTCACCCCATTTCCTCCCAGAAACTTCTGCTGACCCTTCCTTCTCGGACCCCTTCCTCCTGTCCTTCAGCACCTGGCTCTTCCTTCTGTCCTGGCACCTACCACCTCACAGTGCAATTTTCTCTGACATAATCGCCTTCCTTACTAGGCTATGGGCTCCTCGACTGGATGGGCCATGTCTTCTCTATTTCCATTACCCCAGTCCCGGGACAGTGCCTCATACACAGGTGTCGCATGGAGGTTTGCGGAGTTTCACTGGGATGGAAAGCCCATTTCTGTTGTTCTCTCTGTTTTGGGCAGAGGGTGACATTGACATTTTGCTGGACAAATTTCATCAGGAAAATCAAGGCCATATTCCGTCCTCACTTACTGCCTCCCCTGTCACCAAATCAGCATCCCTGGATGTTGGCGGAGCTCCGGCATGCACGAGTGAGTGATGTGGGGAGCCCGCGGCCAGGATCTGGGCTGACGAGACAGCACCCAGGGGGCGCCAGGGGGGCTATGAGGAAGCAAGGCAGGGCATTTTCTGAGCATCAAAGTGGACTGATAAAATAATTTTTATTTTAGTCTTTAAAACACTAGTAGTCTCATCCTACCCTGAAATGGATGCTTGTACACTTTTCCAGAGATGGCATATTTCTCTGTGTAGATTTCCACCTTATCAGTGCATCATTGAAATACGTTATGTATCCTGAGTTCCCGAAGAGCTGCGATGGTCTCCCTCTCTTCCAGAGAACTTGCAGCCTCTTCCAAAGTCCTGTCTCAGGGTCAGCTTCCCTGGGATGCTGTCTTTGTCCCCTTCAGGTAGAGAAGGTCACCGCCTCTGTGCTCCCTGAGCACTGTTGATCCTTTTATTAGTAAATTCTGAAAAGTATGAAATGTACATAGCCCAGAGTAGGCACTTGATAAATGTTGGTGTGATCCCCCTTTGGTCACTCTGTGCACTAGGCAGGGCCCTGCTGCTGGATTCCCTAGCAGACGTCCAGGGTGTTGGCCCTCTGCATCTCACCTTTATGGGGGCTCTGGTTCCAGGTTACAGTCTGGAGCCCCACCACATCCGGCCCTTCCAGCTGGCCGTGGCTCAGAAGCTCCTCTCCCATGTGTGTTCAATTGCGGATTCCAGCACTCAAAATTTGGACTTAGGATCCTTTGAGAAGGTGGACTTTCTGATTTGTATTCCCCCCTCCGAAGTGACCTATCAGCAGACCCTGTTCCGTGTCTGGCATTCAGGTAAGGGGCATTTGGGGGGCAGGTTGTGGTGTCTGTGTGGGAGAAGCTTTGATTCCCTTAATTTCAGATTTGGAATTGAAATACCAGTCTTTGCCTCTAAAGTAGGTAGGGCAAGGATTGATACCCCCATTTTATAGATCATGAAACAGATGCTCAGAGATAGCAAATTGCCCAAGATTTTATAATCCATTAAAGCAAGAACCATGACTTGAATTTCCACTCTCCCCCACTCAGGTCAACAACCCATGTGTTGATATCCTGCTTCAACTTCATGTACTTTCCCTGTGCTTTCAAGGGGATGAAATATGAAAAACACAAAGAGTCAATGTCTTCACTCAGAGGATTTGTTTTAGGGTTCTGTAGCCTACAGCTCCACGGCCTTCAGGCTGGGAGATGATTTTGCTGGGGATGGCGGGGAGGTCACACCGAGCCTAGGATCACCAGCCTCATGAAGCCAGCTTTGCTATACCCCCTGGGTGGACCACTGTGCACACATCTCGATAGGAAACAGGCCCGCCTCTTTGCCCAACTCCTGCACAGACATACGTGTGACCACGGTTTGCATGGGGTCAGGTGCCCCGACTCCCCCACGTCTCACACATCCCCGTAGCTTTGGGGCCGGCCAGAATGCTAGCCAGATAGCAGGTGCTCACCAGGTGTCTGTTGAGTGAATGAGAAACTAGTAACAAGGGTTTTACTTGTCATGGATTACTTGTGATGTATTTTTACCATGTTACAGGGGTTTTACTGGAGCTTGGCTTGGAAAAGGAGCGCATGACTAAGCAGAGGGTCGAACAGTATGTTTTGAAACTTGATGCCGAAGCACAGACGAAATTTAAGTCCTTTCTGCAAAACTCCTTTCAGAACCCACATACGCTCTTTGTCCTAATCCATGACCATGCCCACTGGGATCTCGTAAGGTGAGAGCGGCTTTGGCATATGGCAGGGTTGACGGGTTCCTTCTCTGAATTAATATGTGGATGACACTCAGGCCTGTGGGTACAAGCCTTGACAAGATGAATGATGTTGGGGTTTTGGCATTTGTAAGCAGATGCCATGGATGTATTCCAGAACCTTAGAGCTGCAGATTATCTTGGGGGACATCTAGTGGAGCCTCTAAAAGGTGCTATCATGATCTAAGGCTCAGGGTCACAGGGCTGGGGTGGGGGCAGGAGGGTGTTAGTACTGAGCCGGCCTAGAACTAGGGCCTCCTTTTCTGTACCCCACCTGGCGACAAGGTGCCCCCTGGTGCGGGGAGGGGATCCTGACTGGAATAACTCCCCTGCTGATGGAGGCCCCACTGGCTTCAGTACCGAGGGTCGCAGCTGGTGCCACCCTTCTTTAGGGGCGATTTTATGGACTCAGTTCAAATGAATGTAAATCTAGATGCATTTTAGATGCTGTCAGGCTCAGAGTCTGGCAGGATTCCTGATTTACCAGGATCTGTCATCTCCCTAGACTGGCCCGAGGGTTGTGCATTTAGACATTACCACTGACTGGGTGGGGAGGGGTGAGGAGGGAAGGGAGATCCTGGGTCAGATTGCAGAGGAAGGCTTTGATTTCTCACGGATGCAGAAGCATAGGGCTGGCCAGAACCTCAGAGATCACCTATATGCAGGGCATGCGATATAAGGTCCCTGCATGGGCTCGGAGGTATTTGAACGTCCTGAGTTGTATAAAGAGCTATCTTGTGAATGCTCATTTGGGGGGTAGGTTTCTCAGAGTAGCTGCCTGCCGCCCAAAAGCCGAAGAGTATTCTATTCTGCTGGGTGGCTAGGACAGAAGGCTGAGGCCATGGCCTGCAGGGAACGGCTGAGCTGCGCTTGTATCCTGGGCCCCTGGTCCAAAATGCTTCCCCTTCCTGGTCCTGTACTTTTCAATTTAATATGGAATGTACCATTTTATATTCTCTGTGGATCGTTTCAGGTCAGAAGGAATTTAGGGGAAAGAATTTAAGGAGACAAGTACACACTCAGATGGGGCCAAAGGAGCATTCCTGGGTGAGAAGCCCTGCTCTACAGGAGTGGGTGGATTGTGGACCCTGCAAGCAGTCCTCCGTAAATACTGTTCCCCTGGCTAAGTTTTTAATGAGCAACGAGGATCAGGGGAGTCCCGGACAAGTGCCTGCAGTGTGGTCTTTTTTTTTTTTCTTAAATTTTCCTGGGCAGAGCCAGAAGCCTTGATTACTTGCACATTTAGGGGTGGGGCTAGTTAGAAATGTATTCAACTGCTTGATCTTTGTAAAATTACAGAGCAGTATGCGTCATTCCACTCACTGTGTCTCCCCCGCCCCCTTTCCTCCCTCAGTAGCGCCGTTCATAATCTCTATTCCCAAAGTGACCCGGCCGTGGGATTGGTGGACAGATTGCTCAATTGCAGGGAGGTGAAGGAGGCCCCCAACATCGTGACGCTCCACGTGACTTCCTTCCCTTATGCGCTGCAGACGCAGCATACCCTCATCAGCCCTTACAACGAGATCCACTGGCCTGCATCCTACAGTAATGTGAGTGCCACGGGGCTGCTAGGCCTGGTGTCCCCGTGACCCTTGAGTCGGGAGAAATTCTGTTTAGTAAAAACCTTGATTAACTGGTGTAGTTGGGGGTCAAGAGGGTCTCCTGTTTCTTGGATCTTTGATGTGACCCAGAGTTAGATTTAAACCCTTCCTGGTCTTTAGACACTTTCCCAAAGGACATTAGTTATCTTCCCCATCTGAGGACATGTAATGTTTAGTCTAGAAGCCTTGGAAAGGTTCCTGCTTTTCCTCTCCCCACATCCTTAAGCTGCAAGGCTCAAAATCCCCTTCCTCAAATGGAACAAACCTCCATAAAACCTGGTGAGGTTTTGGTTTATCCCCTGCCTTTTCTCATCAAAATAGAAGGCTACAGCTGATAATTTGAGACTTCTGAGAATAATTGGAGAATTCTGGGTGGTTGGATTCTACTTAATTATACAAGTAACAAGCAAACCTCAAATTCTAGACTTTTGGGGGGTGTCCCAGACTCATCTGAGGGACTTACAAAGATACGGATGCTTGGCTTCAGTCCAGGAGACTTGGAATCATTGGTGGTAATACCAAGTGTTTCTGTAGCACTTTCGTGAGCTAGGGAGGCACTGTTCTGAGTGCTTTATTGTATGAACTCCTATAGGGGGCAGAGGCTAGGATGATTTCTGATTTACAAATGGAGAAAATGAGGCAGAGGAGGGTTGAGCTAGGAATGTTAGGTCAATGGGAGTGAAATTGATTAGATAAATGCATTTCTTCCTGCTGATTTTAATAGCAAGCTGAACGCAAGATGGTTGATTGGCCTATTCCTAAAACTAGCTTAAAATTGTTGGAAAGAAGCCATTTTAACCAAGAAAGTTGTGGATTTAAAAAACAAGGCTGATGTTTTTCTTGGCAGAGACACTAGGGTCAGATGAATGGAAAAGTCTTGACTGATATAGTTGCACCATCCTTTAAGTATAGAGTGCTCCGTGCTCTGGGTCTGCAGAGGGAAGTAATATATAAAACGTCAGCTGCAGGACTGCAGAGTCGGCACAATTTATTTTTATTTACAAGATTCTATTTATTAGAGAGAGAGCATGTGCGTGTGTATGCGTGTGTATGCACATGAGCTGGGTGAGGAGAAGAGGGAGAGAGAAAATCTCAAGCAGACTCCATGATGAGCACGGAGCCTGACATGGGGCTCAATTTCTCGACCCTGAGATCATGACCTGAGCCGAGATCAAGAGTAGGATGCTTAACTGACTTGAGCCATCGAGGCTCCCCACGTCAGCACAATTTAGATCAAGACGCCTGGGCCAGCCATCTCCGTGCCCAGCGTGTGAATCTCTCCATCCCCGCAAATGCAGTGTTTGTGTGACTGATGTTCTTCTCTGTTTTAGGGAGTGGACTTATATCCTGAGAATAAGAAGTACTTCGGGTTGTCAGAGTTCATTGAGTCCACCCTTTCGGGACACAGCCTCCCTTTGCTCAGATACGACAGTTCCTTTGAGGCCATGGTCACGGCATTAGGAAAAAGGTACACGTCTCTGTTGGAAGTTACTAAAATGCTCAGGAGTCGAGTGTAAGCTGAAGAGTGTGCAGCCAGAGAATTCCAGGAAGGGGGCCACCTTCCTCCTTTCTTAGGTGACTCTGTCCCTCCACTAAAGGGATCCTGGTTTATTTCTTGCCCTGTCTATGGGGCCAGTGATATCTGTCATGTCATTGTTCCAGAATGTTTTAGAGATGGGATTGGGCAGTGATATGTTGGAATGTGGGAGGGTGTGTTTGAGACACGGGGAAGCCAAGAAAATGGGCAGAGGTAGACACCAAAGGATTTAAAGGAAATGATGGTGACAATCATAGTTGGCTTCGTCCTTTCATGTCCCATGTGTATCATCTGCCGAGTGCTTATTTTGTACTGTTTGCTGTTCCAAGAGCCTTGCCATCTCTCTTAGCCAGTTGCTGCTATTATTTCCATTTTGCAAGTAAACTGAGGCTCCGAGAGGCCTGCATGACTTCCCGGGCCCCACATCTGGCCAGTGACGGAACTGGCCACGAACCCAGCATCAGCCTGACTCTACAGCTTGCCCTCCAACCCATGTCACGGCAGACCGCTGAGGCA